TTTTGTAAACGTAATCAGTAATTGTTCGCGTGTGTGGAATATCTTAGATGTTCAATATTATTTCGCGTGTGTGGAGTATCTTTGATGTTCAGCATTATGTCGCGTGTGTGGAGTATCTTTGATGTTCAATATTATGTCGCGTGTGTGGAGTATCTTTAATGTCTAACATTATGTCTCAATTTTTATTATTCTTTTAAATGATTGATACTTAAATAAAAGTTGATAATATTATTTAAATTCTTTATATAAAAATAAATGCAAATTTTCTTAATATTGCGAAACATTATTTGTACTAAATGCGGTTTTGGCTAAAAGTATTAAATATCTTGTTGATCATTGTTTAATTTTTCAGCTAAAACATTAATATTTATGACACTACTATTGCTCAAAATTATTCTGTGTTTGAAAAATTCTTTAAACTTACGTGTAATGCCGATTATTGCTCGGTAAAAAATAATCGTTACTTATAATTTTAAAATAAAATAAGTTTTTGGAACTTATTTTATATTTTTTATTTTAAATAATTCGTACGTTATTTTATCGAGCCACGAGATCGACGTTATACGTAAGTTTAAAGAATTTCTGAAACACGAATAATTTGCAGTAATAGTAGTGTCTCAAATCAATTTATTAACTAAAAAATTAAATAACGATCAACAAGATATTTAGTACTTTTAGCAAAACTGTATTTAGCACAAATTGTTTCACGATATTAAGTAAATTCGCGTGTATCATTATATAAAGAACATGTATAGGATATTTTATCAACCTTTATTTAAGTATGAATCATTAAAAAGAATGATGAAAATTGAGATTTAATGTTGGAATATAAAAAATATATATATATATCTCACGCGATAATTACTAATTCGTTTAAAAGAACCATGCAAGTAATATAGGATTGAACAAGTACTAGAGATGCCACAGAGCAAAGCACAAAATGTACGACGATACCTGTTAGTTAAAATATATATTATATAAAATACGAATATTTGAATAAACCGTTGAATATTTTTCATACGCAGTAATTTGGTGTAATCTAAACAGTCGAAAAGCGAGGAGAAGCGTCGCGCGATGAAAGCGTGGGGAAGGGGCGCGCGGCGTGAAGCGGGGGGAAGGCTCGCGCGACGAAAGCGAGGGGAAGGGGCGCGCGGCGAAAAGCGATGGGGAGCTTGCCTATGTCGCTACGTCATCACTTCGGCATTCGCTCGGCGCCCGCTGAGGGAGATGAACGGGTGGCACGACCGCTACAGGTGTCGCGCTATAATCTACGAAAATTAGATATTCACGAACGCGAATTGATAATTAATTGCGTATGGCTGCCCTAATAGTAATGTTGCTCAAAACTAAGGTGTGTATTAAGAGTTATATCTCAATCTTTATTACTCTTTTTGATGTTTTACATTCAAATAAAGATTAATAATAAGTTATACGTTTTTTAAATAAAGATAAACATTTTTAAAAATTATATAAAACAATATCGACTAAATTTAGTGATGGATATAAACAGAATTTATATTATACATTTACGGATATATAAATTAGAGGTGTCTAAGGGCGGTATATATAGTCTGTTCTTATTTCAAGACTGTGTGTGTGTGTGTGTGTGTGTGTGTCTTAAGTAATGTCTTAAGACGCTAATACGGCTAATACTCTGATCTCTTAAAATCTTCGTGATTTCTTAAAATTGTACTTAAGACGGTCTTAATATAAACTCTGACACTATGAATGATGGATGAGTTGTTCGTGTAACGAATTCAAGAAGTAAAACATAAATCGTATAATAAAGCATCATGTAATATTCATCGAAAAATATTAAAATGTAAAGAGTAGATTATTTTGTAATATGTGTATTTTAACGTTAATATTTCGACAGACGGTTGGCGCGTGACCTTGTGGGGATGGTACGGGGGTAGCACGGGCGGCGCGTCATGTTTACGGCTAGTTACTACGAATCATTTCATTACCGAAGCTCGTACAAGTATATGCGAAATAAAGTCAGAGCAGATATTAAACTATATTAATTGTGAAAGAATTATGAATTGCGTTATTTGCACGAGTATTCATATTAGCATTGATTTTTTATGCCTCGTTTGATACCGTTCATACAGACAAGTAGCCGTACAGACACGAGGCATAAAAAATCAATGCTAATATGAATATTCTCATGCAAATAACGCAATTCACAATTCTTTCACAATTAATATAGTTTAATATCTGCTCTGACTTTATTTCGCAATGATAACGAATTGCAGACGTGTTTGTTTGATATTCGTTGCTAAAAGTTAACCGATTGCATAGTAATTGCATAGTAATGTAGGTAATAGCTATATACTAGTAGTATTACATTTTTCAGAGTATCTTCCCTCTCACGGGTACACCTTGTCGTGGTGGGAGGGCTCAGTACTCAGAGGATATTTTCACGAATAGAATGATTTTTCTCAAATGTCTAAAAATTTTTAGGTATATCTGAATGTATATATCTAGATAAATTTTTAGATATTGAGTAAAATCGTTCTCTTCGTTTAAAAATCCTCTGGTGAAGCTAACGTACCCTCGTCGCCGATTTGAAAAGTAAACGAACCGTAGCCGGTTCGTCGCGTCGCGCGTTTCGGGAGTGCCGTTCAAGTTATCGGACTCAAGTAATAGTCCGCGGGCGAGTACAGTGCATTATTCGCGAGTGTTTACGCGAGTGTCCTGTGCATATTCTGAGAGGAGGCGGAGGTCTGAGAGACATCGGGCATCGGTGAAGCAACCTGACGGTAAATATTATTTTTTATTTGTATAAAATTAACCTTTTTTCGCTTGTTTTTAAATCATTTTATTTGACAATGATTAAAAAATGATTATTGTTTAAATCATTATTAAATATGTAAAATGATTTAAATAATTTTATATTCTATAAAATAATTATATAAAATAATTCTATATTCTCTAAAGTAATTATATGTATTCTCTTAAATAATTATATATATTTTGTAAAGAAGATCTTAACGAAAATAAATTTGTATAAAATTTTTAGATAAAATAATTATACATATTTTTAATATAATTATATATATTTTTTAAATAATTATACATATTTTAAAAATAATTATACATATTTTAATAATTATATGTATTTTCTATAATAATAATTATATACATTCTAAAACAAAAATAAGAAAGAACATACGGCCACGTACGCATATTATTATTCACACAAGTCATATATTTAAAATAAAATTAATTGTAAATGGTTCGGTGAAGTTGTGACTATCATTAGCACAACCAAGAGAATGCAAATGTTAAAAAATATAATTTAGCACATTAGGATGTCGCACAAAATTTCAAAAATTAATCCTGCCTTCGTAATCTCTTTTACAGTGAAATTAAGAATTTATTCTTGATAACTTGTATGTTAAAACATGGGATTACCAGAATCCGTGTTTTCACAACTATCAATATAATACAATATAATGCGACGCTAATTTGTTCGAAGAATATTAGCGTATAGAGATGGAAAAATATTATATAAAGTAAAACTATTTTTTTTCTGTACGAAATTTCATGTAATCACAGTCACTCGTATTTCAATTTACAAGTTATAAATATCAAGAATAAATTCTTAATTTCACTGCAAAAGAGATTATGAAGACAGAATTAATTTATGGAATTTTTTACTACAACATCCTAATATGCTAAATTATATTTTTTAACATTTGCATACTCTGGACTATACTGACAATGGTCCGATTTGACCGAAACGTTTACATGTAATTATATTTTAAATATATGACTTGTGCAAATAATAATTTGCGTATGTGGCTGTATGCTGTTTCTTATTTTTGTTTTATGTTATCACCTTTAATAAATTTGTTTAAATTTTATTTATATATAATCTCTAAAAAAATCTTAGCAAAAATAAATTTGTATAACATTTTTAAGTAATTTAAATAATACTTAAAAATTTTATACAAATTTATTTATTGCGAAGATCTTTAGAGTATATATACATAGAGA